CACACACACACACACACACACACACAAATTAATAAATAAATAAAATTAAAAAAAATTATTGGTACATTTTAGATATACACAATGATCACATCATAGGGAATTTGCATCTCTACATGATATATTTTGATTCCTTTTTCCCAATCCCCTCTTCCTGTCCCTATTTACAAAGCTTTGTTTCCATTTTATCCTTTTTAAAAATCATTTTCATAGGGCCGGGGAGATTGCTCAGTGGAATAAGCGCTTCCCTGGCAAGCGGAAGGGCCTGAGTTCAATCCCCGGTCCCCCCCCCCAAAAAAAAAAATCATTTTCATCAGAAAATTTGCCCACCAGATTGAGATCCAGCCATTTTCCTGCCTATGGATCTGCAAAATAAGTCAGCCTCTTTCTAAGAAACTCCCCTTTTGGAGGTTGATATTAGCTAGGACAGGCTTCTGATTAAAACAATGACTGAGGAGCAGCCTCCCAGAGGGCGTTGCCCCCACCCCCCCACTCCACAGGCCCCAGCCCTCCCACCAGTCTCCTTACTGGGCTTCCTCAGTGCTAGGATCACCAAGGGCACGTGCGACCACGTCCACCTTAGCCATAGCTCTTATTCCACATACAGTGAGGCCCTGAACTGGCTGGTGGCTTCATCACCCATCAGAGACTATTTATTGGGACTACTGCCCCTCAACATAGGCTTTGGGGTCTACCTGCTGTCCCAGATTATTTGCCGAGAGCTGACCAGCCCAGCAAGAACCAAAGCCTTGGGGCTGGAGAGATGGCTCAGTGGTCTAAAGCATCTACTTGGAACAAGCTTGGCAAAGCACAGGAACCGCGGTTCAATCCCCCAGCACCACATGCCAGCCAGCCCCGCCCCCTGGTGGGCTGAGCTGGCCACACACACACATACACACACACACACAATAAATGTTAAAATAAAATTAAAAAAAAAGAACCTAAGCCTGAGTGTAGCTGACAAGCCAGGTCATTGCCCTGGCAGGCAGCCTCTGTAAGAGGCAGGTAGCTAGCCAGTCAGGGTCACCATGAAGTTGAGAAGATGCAGGTTTTCTTCCCCTCATACCTGAGACTCCCCGGGTGGGCTCCTGCTGCCTTGATTTCTGGAAGAGGTCTTTACTGCAGAAGCCACTAGGAGGCAGCAAAGTACTTGTTTAAAGTCTTCAGTAGGTCTGGTTAAGAGTTGGATTAAGGGAGCGGTGGTGATGGGGACAGAGGGAAGCTGAAATGGTCCATCCGAGAAGGTTCAGAGCCCCACGCTGATGGCGAGCATGGTGAAGGGAGGTCACGGATTTCTTTCTTTCTTTTTTTTTTTTTTTAAACTTTTTCTTAGTTCAAGTGTTTTGAAACATTTAATTTTTTTTTTAAATAATTTTTTATTTATGTGTGTGTGTGGCCAGCTCAGTCCACCAGGGGGCGGGGCTGGCTGGCATGTGGTGCTGGGGGATTGAACCATGGTCCCTGTGCTTTGCTAACCTTGTTCTAAGTAGGTGCTTTAGACCACTGAGCCATCTCTCCAGCACCGGTCACGGATTTCTGACCCACAGATAGACATCTAGATCTTTGGGTTTGTTTTCTGAGACAGGGTCTTGCCATGCAGCCCAGGCTGACCTCCAATTCACCACACTCCTCCTACCTTAGCCTCCCATTGCTGGGGTTATAGGCATGTGCCACCATGCCTGGCTTGGACATCTTGATCTTGCAGATGATTTGTAGTGGCCTGATTCTTCCCTGCCTCAACCTTGGACCACCTACTCCTAGCAGGGTCTTTACTCTGCCCAAGAGATCTGTCCTTGAAAATAATTGTTGTTCTACTGTTTGAGACATGGCCTCACTATGTACAGCAAGCCTCAAACTTGCTGTGATCCCCCTGCCTCAGCCTCAAAGGGCTAGAGTTATAGATATGTAACCAGAGAGATAGCCCAGAGGCATGAGTGCCTACCTGGCAAGCACAAGGTCTTGAGTTTGATTTCCTCAAAATAGACATGTGTCACCATGCCAGTTCCATGCAAGTAATTGTTTTATTTTTTAATATTTTGGTCTGTTCTGAGACGAGGCATCACTATGTAGTTCAGGTTGGCCTTGAGCTCACTTTGTAGCCCACACTGGTCTCAAACTTGCAACAATCCTCCTGCTTCAGCTCCTGAATGCTGGGATTATGGGTGTGTGCCACCATGCCTGGCTGCAAATAATTCCTTCAGCAGCTGTTTAGGAACCCTGCCAGGAGGGTGTTGTAGACGTCCTCAAACACTTATCAGGTCTTCACTCACTCATTCAACATATTTCCATTAGGTAGCGTCTCCCTTACTTTTCTCTCATTGCTGAGACAAAATACTTGACACCCCAAATTAAGGAAGGAAAGTTTTATGTAGCTCACAGTTTGTGGAGGTTTCAGTCCATACTTGGGCTACAAACAGCACCTCCCGCTCCTGTTCTGCATTTCACTTTGTTCTTT